CTCGGGGTCCGCCCCGGCGGGCGCAGTCAGCCTGTGCTCCCGCAGGGCTCCAGCAGCTGGGAGGCGGCGGACCTCGGCAACGAGGAGCGGAAGCAGAAGTTCCTGCGGCTGATGGGCGCCGGGAAGGTGAGGCCGCCCCGGGCACACGGGGACCGGGCGGGAGGATCTCCCCCCCCCAAGCCCGGGAGGCTTCGCGGCCTTTTCTGTTTGCGACGCAGCGAACCCTCCCCGTGAGGAGGCTCGCTGCGGGCCGCAGGGCTCTCCCGGGACAAAGACAACACTGGAAGGCGATTTCGCTTTGGGACTCTCCTTTAAGGAGGATTTGGGTTTCACGGCCGCGGCTGTTACGTCAGTAGCGGAGTGGTGCAAAACACGGGTCTGAAATCGTCGAGCCTCTGCTCTGCAGCTTCCTCCCACCCCCGCACCTCTATACTTTCAGACCAGCTAATAAAATTACTTGTGGAAGCTGCCCAGAGAGTCCCTGTTACAAACTAACCAACCTGTGCCCTGCTAGGTCTGTAAAGTTGGCTTCCAATGGAAAAAAAAATAAAGGTTCAGAAAAATGGTAGCTGATAGACTAAACCAGCAAAATAGTAAACCTAATTAAATAATGCAGGAAATACTTTTAAAGAGAAAATGCTCTAAAACTATATTTCTACTATGCTCTTTACAAAAAATGCTGCAAAACTAGTAAAACATAATCGTGCTTTTTCCACCTACAAAATGTCTGTTTAGTGTTGCAATTCTACTTACCATCAAGAAAAATAATTTTACTGGTACTAGGTTATTTTGCTCGAATACAGTATTTTTGTAAGCTAAAATATTTTACTGTATTAAAGAGGCAAAAGTTAATACCTCCTAGTGGATAGGAATACAATACCCTATTAAAACATCCCACTACCACTAATCTTAACATCTACTTAGATACTTAACGCTGCTTGCTACGTAATGCCGGTTCTTGCCTATAGGGATCCATTTGCTAATGAGCAATGACTGAGCCCATAAATTAATGAGCACTGTGAAGGTCTTACCTGATGCTGTGACCAGTCTAAAAGTGGGATCGTCGTAAGATGCACAGACTGAACTATTGCGTAGTGCCAGAGAAAGAGACCCAAAGGGTAGATTGTCACAACCTAAATTCACACTTGTCCAGCATTGCGTAGTGTAGTTTTTGTATCAGTGGCAAGACACAGAATGGAATAGAACCAGCTTTGGGGTGTGGGAAGAGTAAAGGGTATCTAGTTGTTGGGGTTTCTTTTTTTCAGAAAATTCAACAAAACAAAGGTGAAACAAGTTCATCAAGAGACAGCAGTTGTTAGCTAGTAAAACTTACAGTCCTGCTACAGTTGGTTGTCAAGGTTTGATAGCAAACCTTTTCCATTCAAGATTTCCAGAATGTTGGCAGAGCTGTCTGCACCCTAAAGCTCCAAAACAAACTGCCTTTTCTTTTAGAAAGAACATACTGGCCGCCTTGTTATCGGAGACCACAGATCAACCTCTCACTTCAGGACAGGTCAGTTTATCCAACAGCTGATACAAAGTTGGAAATCGAACACTTATTTAGGAACATCCCAGTACTTTGAGCTTCATGATACTGCAGGGAGGGATTTCAGATTTTGTGGCTGAAGTTGAAGACGGGACAGGCTGTGGAGTTGTAGAAGTTCCTAATTTCTCTTGTTAGATTACTGACAAACAGTTTCTGTGACTGCACTTACTTGCCTTCTAAAGTCCAGGTTCAGCAAAGTACTTGATGGTCAGTTAAACTTGTGTACAAATGCCCTGGAAATTGGGGCCTATCGGTCCTCAGTCTTATTTTGCTGTCAAAATAAGAAAGTAAAGTTTTATTGCTATTGGTACCTAGCAGTATTATACTTCTTCCTTACTGCCAGGTATGGGTATCCAAACTTCTAAATTGTTGTGCAAGGAGAAGAACAGGGTTGATTTCTCCCCCCATCTGTGATTACCTATTGAATAGAAAGATCTCTGCCTTAAAGCAATGAGGGAGAGGCTGAAAAGATCTGCAAGGTCATCTTGGTAATCAGCAATAATTTGATGTCGTGTAACATGTGACCATAGTAACTTCTTATCATGCTTGCTTAGGTAGTAAGTCAAAGTACATCAAAACCGAGCTGGGCTTGACTGTCTGAGAGAAGCTTTGATAAAGTTGTCTAGAATAGCAACTGTCAGAGTCCCAGAAAACTTCTTTCCCTGATAATGGTCCACTAGTAATTTTTCAGCTGATGAAAAATTATCTGTGGACCAAAACACCAAAAAGAAGCCTGAGGATTAGTTCCAGATTCTGCTGTTAGGTTGCAGAATGACTGAGAATCACCTCCTTATACCTGAATTTCCTAGAAAGGAGATGGTGCTTCCCCTAAGGAGTCATAAAGAATCAGTACTACTTTGTTATTGGCAAAAAGTTAAGATGCTGTTTTTTTCACAAAAAAAATCAGCTATTTTCTTAACACTTTACTTCCTTGTCCAACATACAGTTACTGTCCTTTTATAATAATATACAGCTCTAACTTCCAAATAAGGAAATATTAATTTGCAATATAAGCTTTTAACTTTACAGAGTTACAAATTAAAAACTAGAGTGTTGTAGGCCTATCGGGGGAGAATTAGAGATTCCTACCTTTTACAAGAACAGAGGATTCTTAACTATCTTAGACCATATTTTCTCCCAGTGAAAATGATTCTTTACTTACTTATTCAAACAAGTAAGTAAAGGGCATGTAGAAGTGACTCATAAAAAATTGGTTTTTCTGCTAATTCCTAAAGATGGAAAAATGTAGAGCTGTAGTAACCGCTCCTGATAATTCAGGATGCTTGAAATAGTTTCAGATACAGCTCTATAAACAAGAGTGATAGTATTGTCCCGACTTCTGCTCCTATATAATAATCATGGTTTAATCATAGTAATCACGTGTTACGTAGTGAAGGTCAGAAAATTTCTCTTTTCTGTGATGTCTTGCAGTATTGGCAGGAAGCACAGCGAAGTCATACTGGTTACATTTACCTTGTTTAGTGGAACATATGCCATGCATAGTACAACTCTCTGAATGCATCGGGTCTTAGGAATTTAACAACCCATCTTTGTATCAAAGCACTTTTGCTTGCACCTTTGATACCATTGCTTATAAATCTGGTGGTTTGTATGCAGCAACACTCAGTCCAGTAGTTTAAGATGTCTAAATTTAAATTTTTTCATGTATATATTGATAAACTTTGAAAATGTGACTTCATGTAATTTGATGTCTTTGTTAATTTGAATGAACCATAACCAAAGTACACTGGACAATGCAGGGGAAGAAGACAAGAAAATGAATGAAGAATTGGAGTCTCAGTACCAACAAAGCATGGACAGCACGATGTCTGGACGAAACCGGCGCCATTGTGGACTTGGTTTCAGTGAGGTAGTAAGAAGTTGTTTATTTCCATAATGATTTGGCTTTTGCTTCGCTAAGACAAGACGATGCATAGTTTAAAAATCCAATCACCACAAGCAGTGGCAAACTTCCGCGGTTTGGGTTAAAGGACAAACTTAGTGCAGGCACTTGACCCCTATTTGCGTACACTGTGGTGGCCATTTAGATACCTGGAAATGATTGATGCTTCTCATTGTTCTGAAAAATGATAATGACATGCTTAATGCTCCATAGCAATCGAGACTGATTAGGACAGAAAGTGACAAATATATTAAATCAGGGTATTGCCAAGGAATACATAAGAAGGCAGGATAACCATCTGAATTGTTGCTGAGAGCTAATTAATGTTAGCTTCTGGTTGCGGTGGGGCACATACCTCTCTATGGTCCTGAAAAGTAAGTGGCTATAGAGGAGTCAGACAAGGAAAATTTGCTGTACGGAGTCCTCCAGTGAGCTGACACCTGACTGGTCTTGTGCTTGCAAGGAATTCCATAGGAATGAGCAGGAAGGGGAGTGCAACAGAAACCGAGAGAATCAGGTTATTAGGAACTTGTCTTCATCTGACAATTGAAAGGTGCAGTAATTAATTTTTTGCTAACTTTTAGCAGCAATTACTGCATAAAAACATAGCTGATGGTTCCAGAACGAGTAAAACCACCTGTGCAGTGTTGGGAATCCTTAATATTACAGCCATGGAGGCTTTGCTCTTTAGGACCACGAACAAAAGGCCATTTGGGGATTGTTCTTGTTAGCATTATCATTGGATTACTTCAGCATTCCACTAAACTAACATCTAGTTTCATTATGTTTCACTCAATGACAAATACTCAAGTGTCATTACGTACTGTGTACACCAAAGTAAGGAATTACTAAACTGATGTGATCTGAAACTTTTCAAACTCACTTAATGGTGTCTTTAGGATTTCTGCTGTAACTAAATAAGAATGTGGCTGATGAAACCATGGATGTCACAGTTGGCATGGTTAACCATTTCAGTGGAGTTGCTTTCCGTCTAATAATTTGTATATTAAAGACCTGTGTTTAGCAACATAGCCCATTTTAGTACTAAAATGAAAGGAGCCATTAAGCGAAACTTTCTCACTGGGAAATTTTAAAAGCTGAAGTGGAGTTGCCAAGAAATAATGGTTTATCTGTCTCATAATCTGAACTTTTAGTTTCAGGAAAGCGAAGAACAAGAAGAGGCAGCTGGGCACTCCTCTGAAGAGAGTTCAGAGGACTCCGAAAGTGGCTCTGAGTCAGAGCAAGAGGAGTCTGCAGAGGAGCTACAAGCTGCTGAAAAGCATGATGAAGCTGAGGTTCCAGAAAACAAAAAAGAAGCAAAAAGCAACTATAAAATGATGTTTGTTAAAGCCAGTGGTTCATAACTGCAGATGTAACAGCTTTGTATTTAAAGTACAGTAAGCCTTATTGTTACAGTGCAAAGTGGAGGACTGCTACAGCACAAATCTTTGTATTATGATTTTAAAAAGACCCTGTTAGATGACAAATAGTAGTATTTGCTTTCTGTTGCCATGGATAACATTTTTATGGGCACAGTGGTATTACTGGTTTTTGTAAAGTGTATAAAATACTGGATGGAGAAATAAATTCTTTTTGTTCCTGCCCAATCTCTACAATGTCATCTAAACTGTGTCTCCCCTTATTCCACGCCAGATAAGGAAACTTCATGTTAGTGGTTTCTTTAGTTAGTACCCCAGTCTTGAATTTCTAACTCTTAAGATTACATGTGAATTACTGGATGTTGCATTAGTTGTAAAATACCAACATCGGCACTATTCTGTGATGTACTAGAGCTTTAAACAATGATTTTGTCTATAGATGCTAGTGTTGACAGGGCTGAGAGAAGTCACTCACTTTTGTGACAGAATTAATCACTGTATCCATCTGAAGTCCTACAGAAGTTGCATGGGAGAAGGTGTTTTAGAAACGTGTAATACAACAGGCGGCTTTAATTGCTTCTCTGGCTTTATAATGAGGGCGGATAAGTTGTAGATCTTTATACCTTTCAGTAGGAAAAAAGTGACTTTTGAATTACTGGCTCCTGGTTATAGCACTGATCTGTTATTAAAAATAACTCCTCCCGAAGAAACCAGTTTACTTGGAAAGAGAAAATATACTTTGATAATGAAATGGTTATACAAATTGTTTAGCTTTTTTAAATATAGAATACAGAGTTAAGTATGCAACCCCTTCTTCCTTTTCTCCCCGTACACGCATCACTTGGAGGTCTAAAAGTCAATTATCACAAAAAGGTTGTACCTCTCACATAAAGTTGATACGCTTAAAGAGTCAGGAGTTCCAGTAACTCCTTCCAGCAAGAATTAAGCACATCCATTCCTCTGTATTCCGGTAGTTAATAAAATATCGGAATGTTTTAGACTTTGTTTTCCTCTTAGTACATCAGACAGATAACTGCCTCTCCTTGCTGGGAGAACAGAACATCTGATCTGTACCTCTAGTACAGCCTCATTCTGCCACAACAGTGTTTCAGGAAACACTCCAGATGCTTGTGGGGAATCTTCCATTTCTGTATACCATTTATGACTTGCAGACATTTGCAAGCCAGCTGGCTTACATGAAAGCAGCCGTATGTACTATCACTGTATAGGTTTGCTGAACGTAAACATTGCAGCATCAGTTATTAGGGGAGGACTTGGAATAAGTTACATTATCGAAAAAATAAAAGTAATATTGTAAATAAAAACTGAGTGTATATTTTGATTAATCCGTTTTACTAGATTTGCATTTAATACAAAATTTTTCAAAAAGTCATTCAGTTTTAAGAATGTTAGAGCAGCCAGTAATGGTCAGTGATTTGTACTTCATGTGTATGGATTTTTTGTTTTCCCAATACTGCAAGCTTCTAATACATAGACAAAAATTAAAGTTGCTTGCACGTTGTGAAGAAAGAAAACCTCACCGTGACTTAGGAAAGTGCTCTATCTCTGGGAAGAGATAGAGGCCCTCCCCAAAAGGTCAAATGATTAACTTCCCTTTTTCCTGTTTAGACACTCAAGCTACACTTAAAACCAGCGTGTCACTTACTTAAATTCTTTTAGATGTGGCTGCTGGCTGTTTATTGCTTTGAGTGCAATTACAAATCAAGGTGTAGGCTGCAAAATGCTGCATATGTGCTGACCTCTTTGCCTTCTCTGTCCCAGCACTGGAGCTAGCGCTGCTCCCGCAACCTCTCCTTCCGCAGCTGCTTGGCATCCACACGGTCTCTGGACTTGCCCGTCAGCGCGCATCTCAAGAGAGACTCGCTTTCCGAAGGTGACAGAATCCATTGCTGTAGACCCGCCCTGCCACGCAGAGGGCTCTGCTGCTTTCCCACCAGCCTCAAAGGAAGGGCATGGGAAAAACCTCACCTGAGGGCTTTTCTCTGCAGTGCAACCAACTTGGAAAGACCCAGGAAAAGCAGATCCAGCTGGCAGGTCTTGCATGGGTCTCTGCTGACAGAACAGGCTGCCACAATGAGCACCCTCAGGGGCCTCTGCTGCTCAGCTCTGCCCTGAATTGATTACATCCTCCCGCCTTGTGAAACAGATTTGGCCATCAGTTCCAAATGTAAATAAATAGACCGCACAAGGATAAAAAATAAACTGAAATTAAACTATTCTAGTAAAAGCTCTGACCAGGAAAAAAAAAAATCAAAACACTACTTCCATTCCCCTGAAGTATGACATGTGATATTGTGAACATCTGATGACATTTGGTGTAACTCATTTATGATGCTGACCTAAGACTCATCTGCTCAAAATAGGAAGAGTTCTACACAATCGCATCTGTTTCTGTGTAACATTTATAAACATACTGAGATCTTGCAGATTCATCTATAAAGCAGCCTGTCTAAGAAGCTTCTCCGAATATGCTGAGAAAGGCTGATTTAGTTCACTGTAGATTGTGCAGTAAATGTTTTCATTCAGAAGTCAGGTTTAGCGACATTTGGTATAACAGCATCAGCAGTAGTGGCATGGACAGTAGCAGAATGGGTTTAGCTCTTACTGGAGACAGAGAACACAGAAAAAAAAATCAAGGTTGGTGTCTTAGTTGACTCTAGTCAGTTCTTTGCTTTTTCAGGTTGGTATGGAAGGAGCTCCCAGACATGATAGTAGAACACATGAGCAGACACTGAATCATAAAGAGGGCAACCACATTTGACTTTTCAAACAAGATTTGGCCACTGAAATTCCTCAACTCGAAGACCAGCTTATTTCCATCTCAGCAGAAAGGCTGCCTGTACTCCGGCATGTCTTAGGAAACAACTGATGAAAGTCAGATCTGTCACAGAACAACCATCACATCTGGTAAAAGTTTTCACCTGTTTCTAAACCACACTGGAAATTTACCTACACAAAGGTCAATGCAGGTGCATTATCAGTATTTATTTGGCTTTGGAAGACTGAAAAATAGGCGAACAGGTCGAAAGCACCGGTGTGCCTGTTCTTTTTCTGTGTGCCCTGGAATAAGGAACCCCTCGAGACAAGTACCATCACAGCCCCACTGCTGGCAAGGTCCTGCAGTCACAAAAGAGGATGCTTCTAAGCCAGGTAAAAAGGGATTCTCAACAGCATACAGGAATTCTTCGAGGCCAAGAAAACCAGATCTATAAGTCGCCCTGTAGCTTTATGCAACTGCTTTACAGTTTACTCTCCCTTTCTTCCTGAAGTAGAGGCTGACAACTTGATTCCTGAAAGCACAATTTATAGGCCAGCTTCAAAGCTATAGGTCCTTCTAAGGCTCTGGTTGGGGAATTCACATCAAAGACAACGTGCACATGTTGTTCTGATGCCAGAGAGGACGGTTGGTAGAAATCTCTGTGGATTTGCTACAGTCCCCAGTACAGGGATTAAATTATGTACTGAAGCTGCCTCTGTAAACTGCAGGAGACAAAGAGAATAAGTGGCAGTGCAATATCTCATAATCAAAGCCTGGCATGGTTATTTGCATCAGTCTTGGAAGCTGTCAGGGGATTAAGAGAAGGGACATGTGTCAAGGTACCCTCACTGAAGGGACAAAGCAGAAGTTGGTTCTGTTTGCTTTTAAGACTGCCACCTCAACTGTACTTTTCCTGAGAAAAATATCTGAGCAGTACACAGGTGTACAGCATCACGATGGGTAGATAAAAGTTTCCTTAGTTTTTGCACAGCATTAAAGAAATTAAATACTTTGTGATTTACCCTAATTTGATTTGGTTTTGATGTGCAGGTGCAGAATGAGATCACACTGACTGTTTGTGCTATTATCTATCCAAATCCAGTAACATTTATGGTGTCCATAGCTCAGGAAGATCTAGTTGAGGGGAGGGGAAGAGAAGAATGAAAAGTAACATATACCAGAAGAGGGGTTTTGTATCATCAGTCAAGCAATATGGGTGCCCATATAAAAAAAACTTCCTTGCTTTGAACTTTTTCACAGCTGCCCACCTTGACCTGCAGGGAAATTCTCTCAGACTGTTACCGTAAGTGTTCTCACCACAAGTATACCAAGCTAAGCTACATTAAAGACTGCAGAAAGGTTTGATAATCTGAACTGGCTCCTTTTCACCCTCATATTTATTGCTAAAGCTTTAAAACAAATGCAGGTGAAGCTTTTGATCCTTAACTGGCTGGGGCCAAGTCTCCTTCTTCCCGTTACAGCCAGTAAAATCTAGTAATTGGAATCTGTTTGTAAGGATGCAGTAGCTGAACATCTCCTTCCAAAACATAATTTTTTTTTGCCAAAAAGAATTCTTAACGTAAGAAATCGATACTGGACCCACAAAAAAACCCCCAGAGATCAAATTTACTCAGTAGTCAACTGATGGACTGAATACCCAGATCCTGAATAAAATCTGTGTATAGAATCATTTACCGAGTAACTTTTAAACTGGACTCAGTGAAGACAACTGCCGAGTCCTCAGGCATAAAGTAAGCTTTGAGAAAGCCAGGGGACACAGCTATACCCACAAGATGTTGCTCTCTCTTCCCTCTGAGCCTCTCATCCAGGTTCAGACTTGGAAAGTGAGCGGAGCAGCCAGTTCTGGTACTCATTGCAGCAGCAGTCCCTCAGCTTTTGCCGATTCTGTGCCTTAGCGCCGAATGAAAGGAGAATGGGATCAACATGTGTGCGTGTGTACGCGTTCACACCTCCCAACACATACACACAGACATGCTACAACCACATTGGGCAGAAGACAAAATCCTGTCCAAACTGGGAGAAGATGCTCAAAGGCACAATATGGAAGAAGCAAAGCAGGGACACAGAAGAACTGTTTAGCATGAACTAAGCAGACAAAAAAGCCAACAATACAGACAATACCAAACAGAACTGGCAGTGATTTCTCTGATGTCAACATTTTCCCCCAGAGTAATACAACTCACTGTAACTAAATGTTGCCAGCTACTTCATTTCATTAGGGTTACATCTCATGTAAGCCATCAGTCAGGGTTTCAAGAAACTTGCCAAAACCTCCTGTGTGTCAAGAGAAGAACCGGAAAACCCTGTTAAGGCGTTTCTCAAAACTGGCTCTAGAGATAAAAATCAAGCCAGCCCAAGCCCCCTGAAAATATACCAGACCTGAAGCCAGAGACTGGAGCAGGCCTCACAACACTCAGTCTTGCACGGGCACATCACAGTCCAGGGAGGACCAACCTTTTCCACCGCCGGCTCTGGGACAAGCCATTTCTACAGGGAAAAGGAGAGTCTCACTCATACTAGCCATTCTTAACTGCAGTTTGACTTAAAAGAACAGAGCACAGAAGCTGCCAATAGAAAATACAATTGTCCTGTTACCAAAACACTGTTCTGAAGTCATCAGTGATTCTCTCCTTCACCCACTGCCACCATCAACATGCTACTCTCGTTTATCCCATTCACAAGTATTTTTTGTACTAGGACACTGGACTTACATTCTAACTTGCCAGCTATTCCTTCTTCTTACTCCTCCCTCTAAGATTTAGGTTGAGTCCCCTCGTTAAAACATTTTTCTTCTATCCAAGTCCATGTATTCCAGCTCCTCAAGTCTTTTCACCACCTCTCGCTTCAAACCACTTGGCTGTTCTCCACTCTCACCTTCAGCCTCTTAGGCGTTTGCAGAGACATCTCTGCCATTGCTTCCTACAAACTCACTACTCACCTTTGTTTTCTTAATCTCTTCCTTCCTTTAGTGCTTTCTTACACTACAGCTCCTGGTAAAAGGCTT